GTTCAGCCCCTCCTTCGCGGAGTGGGAAGATGCTGTTTTTGTGTATTTTCCCGTTGGTGTTTTTCTTTTTTTTTTTTTTTTCAGGGTTGTAACGCGGGGCAGTCGGCAAAACCCGGGGTTGCTTCAGGGACGCAGGCGGGGTGGCACACGCAGCAGAAGGAGTTCATGGAGGAGAAACCCTAACCCTATGGGGGCATGGGAGGGGCATAGCCGTCTCGACCCGTGTGCGAGGAGGGACATATTTAGATACCGACGCTGGAGTGATTTATCCAGTAGAATCGGTGTCTTGGGTGTGCTTCTTGGGCAGCATGTGCTTGCTTCATCATGGGGTGCGGGGCTTTTTGCCCATGGGGGATACGGAAAAAAAAATGGGGGGGGGGGGAGGGGTAGGAATTTCCGGGCTTGTCGTGTAAGGCGATACGTGTGCCATTTCATGTTGTCAGGTGCAAGCGATCAAGGTTTCACGACCGCGAGTACATGTAGTTGGCGCGACTGAAGGGAAATGATACTGCAATCGCGCTGGTGAATTTTGTTTTCGTGGGTTGGCTTGCATAAGCCGTGCTTTCCGTTGCATGCGTTCGTGGAAGCGGATGATTGTGGTTCTCGCACGAAGCCGAAAGTGATTCCTCCCGATGTTGGAGCTGTTGATTCATGTTCTTTTTGCTGCCAGGATCTCTCACACACACCACCCATTGCGAGTCACTTTCGATCAACCGGGTTTTGTTCAAGCTCTTCACGTGAAGGGGTCGATTTTTTTTCTCGGCTCGGAAGCGAACTCCTTTTTGAGGTTTGCAAACAATTGCACGATACAAACTGCACCCGGTCCCGTACCGACCTCGGAGCTGTTTTGCTTGCATTGTGAAGGTACAAGACCCCAGAATACTGGTCGGGTCGAGCCCGAACGGGTTTTGGTCGGTGGGGCCCGAACATTCCTCGCATGTTTGATCTCTCCGAGTGAATGGTCTACAAATTCCTGCCACCATTTCCCAGCATTCCCACATCTCAGAATATTGGATATGGCGACGGCTCACTGGGTTGAGATTTCCGTTGAGTGGGAGTTATGAGAGCTGCACATGGTGACAAACACACCAATTTGCAAAAGTTTCTTTTTGCTTGTAGTGGAAGCACCTTTGCTCAACGAACGATTCTCTTTTCCCTTGCACCACGCCTGAAAACCACGCACCTCGTGACCCTTCAATTTTCACTTAATGGTATGTCCCGTGAAATGCGTACTGCAGGTGCAAGCTTTGTGATGGCGGCGACAGAAACGAACCATGAATTGATCCCTGTTGAGTGACTCACTTTTGTCCAGTTCCAACCCCCAATTTGAGCGGTCTAGAAAAAAAGCTGTAGAATACAGCAGCAGCCACTACAAAGACTGATCGGAGCTGTCCCCCTCATGTATGCCCAACCCAGGTTTTCCGCGTTCACCAATCCATCGCCTATCGATACCGGAACACCCTCGTTCATGCTTTAGACTGTAACCCCGGCGAGAAGCGCACATCGTAGGGGCACCGTTTTCCACTCCCCCCTATCAATACCGGAACACGTTCGGTCGTGGTGTAGACTGTAACCCGGACGAGAAGCGCACGTCGCAGGGGCACACCGTTTTCCACTCCGCCGTTCTCGTCCCTATGGATTTTTATCCGAAAATCACACGTGACCAAGCCATGTACGATCAAGCGAGCGTTGATTGGTTACTCGCGAAGACCGCGGGCGAACTCACCATAAAATCACATGTTCTCCTTCACACGATTACGTTTCATCCTTGCGGCCGTAAAACACAAGGACTTACAAGGACTTACGGTGGAAATGGCTGTAAGGCGCGTCGGCCGCTGACTCCACCTGTCTTACGTAGAAAAAATGTAGGCTACATTATGTACATGTACACGTCTGAAAGACTACCCGTTCGAGACAACACCCCCGGTTGACGGGATGCATAATATGAATTCTTTGCATATAAAGTCATTCTGCCCGCGTCTCCCACACAATACACGTCGGCTATTAGGTTGACGGCGGCGCATCTTTCCTCCGCGCCATGATCGCTGCTCGTTTCACTCATTCATTCCATTACCACCCGTCTTTTCATTACACGGGTGTTAGGCATCACCGCCGCCCCGGAATGTGCTACCTATCGGGCTACTGATCTCCGCAGCTACATACCCCCCCCCCCCCCCCCCGAACGGCCCGGGATTGTAGGGATGCGAGGTCAACTGTCCAACGAATAAGGGCTGGGGGTACATAAATACCCTTCTACTTTTGTCGCGAACTCACACAGAAAAAGCATCCGGCCG